CGGCTTGTCGCGAAGAGTTTCTGAAAGTGGAATATTGGTAATAGTTAAAATATAATATATCTTAGTATTATAATAATGGTAAAAGTTTGTATGGATGTATGGTTTAAAACATCTGGAAGTTCACATGCGGTACTAATTAGGCCTTTATTACGAATCAGCGCGGACTAAGTCGCGGGCTAAAGGTATACAATAAAATAAAACCAGATGTGTCGAAATTTATTTTAACAGTAATTATGTGGTGATGAGTGTAGACATTTTTAGATCATTTACATATCATGTGAATTTTACATACGAAACGAAACGCCGTGACATAACCAGTTAAACCAATGCCTTGATCTAATAAGAAGTTTCATTGCTACTCAACTATAAATATTTTTTTTACAATAAATCAACAAGTTAAGTGGTTATGGCCGAAATATGTTTACCTGATAGTTTATACGTGTGGTTGGCATGCAGATGCTCGTAGTATGCGGAGTTCTTTGTGTGCGCGCACGTGTGCTGTATCTCCGCGTCGCTTTGATGGTGGTCAGCTACGCGACGCTCACGCTCGCGCTCCGCAGTCAGACCTGGAAGGTAAATCATTTATAGTATACTTATTTAAGGTAGAAGACTGAAGTAAGTATGGATTAAGAGAAAGATATGCTTAATAATTTAGTGAATTCAGATGTGACGGCTGATGCTGTCCTGAATCTCTGTAAAGACAAAGCCAAGTTGATGTTATTGCTTTTTTGTAGATTGTTATTTTGTTGATTGTGATTGGTATTGATTGTTGTTTTATTAATTTCATTTTTAAGATGAAATTTAATTAAATTTAGTTCTTATTTCGGTTTTATTACATTTTTCTTTAATTTCGTGGAATCGATACAAAAGACACGTTATCGATTGCATTTCTAACAAAAAGGTGACAAACAAAGTTCTGATAAATCATCGCCCATACATCCATCATTACACACAAACAATCCTAGCAAATCAAAACATTTGCCAGTTAGAGCGCACACCTTTGACTAAACTATCGCACAAGAGTTTAGTCTAGCTTTGATTCCTATGAGCTTATGGAGGTGCACACCACTCGAAGTTTAACATTGCAAACAGTTGAAGGCTGCGAAACAATCGACAATCGCACAACAGTTTAAAAAAAATTGTGCGCTCTTAATGTAAGACAGAGACAGATGTATGTATTAAGAAAGAGATACATACCAGTGAGTGCTTTAACCTCTCCAGTAGCGTTAGCATAAAGGTAGATACGTAGTACTTCGCTGAGGTTGGCGGGCGTGATGTCGCCGAGTCTGATGGCGTGTCCCAGCAACGTCGTGTGTCGTCCAGGGTGCGGAATACCCGGATCCTCTATAAAGAAATGTTATTGTGGAAGCACTAATATATATTTCATCCTTTGGAATAAAATAGACACATATACCAATGAGTTACATTTTAGTTGGAATAATATGTGTATAAGAAAAGTTAAAAATAATGAATGTTCATTGACTTCATACAAAAATGTTATCGTTTTATTGAAAGGGAATGGTAGGGGATGTCAATTTATCTAAACTTCTATAATAATATAAGAAAGCGTAAACACACAGTACTTAGGGCCGGTTTCCCCGCTACTTTTAACTGTTCGTTAGTATTTTCGGTTCCAGAACTTCATGAAATGTGTTTTCCTACTACCTAACTTGAGTTTAACTCTGTTAAAACTTAGTTCAACTTAAAAAATCAGTTGGTAATGGTAATAAATGGAGCCTTCAGCAATCCAGCATTAGTAACGTTAGCAATCACATTATATTTTTGAATGATTCTTTTTTTAATAGAAACTAAGCAAGTTTGCCATGATAACGGTAATTGTTAGCCAACATAAAGGGCTTTTATTTGTGCGTTTTGATTATTATATTTGCAATTAAAAGATTTCCAAATGTTAACAATAGAAGTTTTTTGAATTGCAAGCGAATGAAGCCTTACGAGGAAAGGTAGCATGTTATTATACATGTTATGTCAGTGGAATCGTTAACGCAACTTACCAATAGCACAGACTAGCAGCTGAGTCAACACCTGCATTAGTTCCTCTCTTAAATTGGCGTTGCTATCGGGCAACAGCGATTGTTGCAGTGTTTGGAAACTCGGCAGGGAATCCATATCTATAATACAAAAACATGTAAGAATTCTATTATATTAATCTTACTAATATTATAAATGCCAAAGTTTTCATGGATGGATGTTTGTTATAGTTTATAGCCTCAAGAACGACTAAACGGATCACGATGGAATTTAGCACAGATGTAGAACATAGCTAGGAAGAAGTTTTTGTTTTAATGCCGCGTGGACGGAGTCGTGTTCAAAAACTAGTTCGAATAATAAAAAATTAAAATAATCAACTTTAAATTACTAAAATATTAAACTAAACTGTGCCTAATATGAATAAATGTAATACTAACCGAAACCAAGAGTTTGTCCGAAGTTATGGATGAATTCGTATACTTGTAGTAAGTCCGCCATGGCTTGGCCGGCGAGCTTCAACCCTGGGATCCTACTTAGTGTAGGCAGAGGTTTCTGATCTGATAATGATGAGTCTTCTTGAGGTCTCCTGATTTTAAAACAATTTATTAATATTATTGAGAATTACTTTCTCTTATTTAATTATCATTTGGCTTTATCATCGAAATGAGACATTGTTCTCTAGTTAGTTTATCCATATTTCAAAGCAATTGTTATCATCAACTGAACGACATGCTGAACAGAATATATTTCACACTACTAAACTTAAAAGTGAATAAATTAAAAATGAAAATACTGTACGAGAAAGGGATAAAAAGTTAGGTCAAAATATTAGCAAAGAATCAAAGTATTCATTGTTACTTAAATTCTTAATATTTAGCAAGAACCTTCGTAGTTTAAGCATTTAACACTTTAAAGATTTGCTACCAAAAGTTATATGAACTCTAAGTAATAAAAAAAGTATCTTTAATTTGATGTAACCGTAGGACAGTTAGTATAATACCTGAGTTCAGCGAGGAGTTCCATCTCCTTCCTGCGCTGCTGCAGCTTGCCCTCCTTGGCCAGCAGACGGTCCAGCAGGTTCTGGTGCTTCC